ATGATTTTAATGACAGTAATTTATTTTGAAATACAAGGTTACAGGCTATTTAATAGGGATTGAATATTAAGGGGGGGGGAATGGCTTTATATGTGAAATGTGAGTTACATCCTGTTGAAGTTGAAGATACCAAAGATAATAGCAAGGAGACTGAATCCATGTGGGTTTCTATTAGTTGATATAAAGGGAAAAGGCTTTTAGTGGGAATTTGTTACAGACCACCAGATACTGATGAAATTAGTGAGAAACTTTACAATGACATTAAGATTTCAGCTGTTAATTAAGTCATAATTACGGGTGATTTTAATTACAGCCATATAGATTGGGAAATGCTAGAGTCAAACCATGAGGAAGAAAGGTTTTTGGAAACTGTTCAGGATGGCTTTCTTCACCAGTTGGTCAAAGAACCAACTAGAAACAATGCTATTTTATATTTATTGTTAACTTCTAATGTAGAAATGATTGAGAGGGTGGCAACTGAGGAACACCTGGGTGCAAGTAATCATTGTTCTGTTAGGTTTAATGTTTTGCTGCATATGGAGATAAGGAATAATGACATTTTGATTACAAATTTCAAAAAAAGCAAATTTTGAAGGGATGCGACAATAGTTATCTGTTGTGAATTGGGCAGCTGAGGTATTTGATCAGATGTGGAAAATTTTTAATGTAAATTTTTGAATATTTTCAATGTAAACATATTCCTAATAGAAAGAAAAGGGTAACTACAAGTAAAAAACCAGGTTGGCTCATAAATAGTTTAAGAAATAAAATTAAACAAAAGCTTCTTAAATTTAAGAAATGAAATTGACCAGTATGACAGGAGACTTAGAAGATCAAGAAAGTTGGTAAAACAGGAAATTAGGACAACAAAAAGGATGTATGAGAAAAGGTTGGCTGAAAATGTAAAAATTAACAGTAAGAATTTCTTTCAATACATTAAGGGTAAACAAAATGTTAGGATGGGGATAGGACCCTTGAGGGATGATAAAGGAAAGCTAGCCTCTGATGATTATGAGATGGCTGGGTTATTAAATTTTACTTTTTCTTCGGTTTCTACTGATGAAGATTTAAGCAGTATTCCACATCTTGAACAGATTATAAATGGAAATGAGATCAATAACATGACTTTATTAGTTCTGAACTTGTTAAGAAAAAATTGGAAAGTTTGAGAACGATAATACTCCTGGGCCAGATAATATTTCCCCAATGGTTTGAAGGAGGATAAATATTGGATATGTGAGCCACTTGTTACT